TGGTCCCATCACCTCCTGGCAAATCGAAGGGGAAGATATGGAGACAGTGACAGATTTTACTTTCTTGGGCTCCATAATCACTGCAGATGGAGACAGCAGCCATGAAATTAAAAGACGCCTGCTTCTTGGGAGGAAAGCGATGACAAACCTCGACAGCATCTTAAAAAGCAGAGACATCACCTTGCCAACAAAAGTCCGCATAGTCAAAGCTATGGTTTTTGCTGTAGTGATATATGGAAGTGAGAGCTGAACCATAAAGAAAGCTGATGGCCGAAGAATTGATGCTTTTGAATTGTGGTGCTGGAGGAGGCTCGAGAGTCCCCTGGACTGCAAGGAGAACAAACCTATCAATTCTAAAGGAAATCAACCCTGAGTGCTCACTGGAAGGACAGATCCTGAAGCTGAGGCTCCACTACTTTGGCCATCTCATGAGAAGAGAAGACTTCTTGAAAAGACCTTGATGTTAAGGAAAATGTGAAGGCAAGAGGAGAAGGGGACAACAGAGGATGAGATGGTTGGACAGTGTCATCAAAGCAACGAACATGAATTTGACACAACTCCGGGAGGCAGTGGAGGATAGGAGGGCCTGGCATGCTCTGGTCCACGGGGTCACGAAGAATCAGACACGACTAAATGACCAAACAACAACAATATAAACCACAATTTGCCCTGCATCATATATAATAAATGAATGCAGTTCATTAGGAACAGAAGCAAAAGTTTACTATCTCCACAAAGGAGGATAAGGAATGCATGAGTCTGAAGTTCACTCTTACTAACTCATAATTTTAATCTTTCATCCGAGCAAGATGAGGTGTTCTAATGAGGTCCAAGTATCTGCAGTTGTACAAACATCTGTTTTAACCTGACTTACGTGAGTTCTGAGGTTTCTTGAAGGTTTCTCCTTTCTCTTTGATTAAGGCGTTTGTAGAAGAAGGAGCTGAACACATGAATCCTATCAGCATCTTCCTGTTTCAACTTTTCAAGGACAAGGTATCTTTAATTTGAAAAAAAGAAATGAACAGAAGGTTTGCATTTCCACTTGTTTCACTCCTGTCTGTAAATATTTATTTTTCTTGAAAAGGCTGCAACATTCTATCCAAACAAAACACATATTGTATCCAGACAAAACAGCTTGCCAAAGAGATATAGAATTTTTCACCAAATTCAGACCAAGACAATAAATTGTAATCATCTTCAAATTACATTTTCAACTCCCTAATTTGAATGTGAAATATTTTACAATTTCTTTTCACAACACAGGGAAATGTTTACTTTTTATTAAAAGACCACCAGATAACAGAGAACTAATATAGCTCAGTGGACTGCAAGACAAAGTTCTTAGAGTTTGAACCTCCACTGTACACCCTACAAAAGGAGCCAGCCGAGATCACTAGGAGCATATGTGGCTGATTGGGTTACGTGCCCTGCCAGCTATGTGGCCATGGGCAAGCTGCACAGTTCCAGATCCCACTAGAAGGGAAGGACTCTCAAACCACTTCTGCAGACTCTATACTCAGAAAACTCTGAGAGGGCTGCCACAAAAATAGTGGGGATGCTGTGGATGCAATATACCTTCACTTCAGCAAAGCTTTCAGCAAAGTGTTCCAAGATATTGTGATTAGCAAACTAAGTGGATAAAACAAACATTAAGTACATACACAGTTAGTTACAGAATGATTCTCAGAGCATGCTTATCAATGGTTCTTCAAAGACAGAGAAGATAACAAGTGGGCTTAGGCCTGGGCCCACAGCACTTCAGCATTATTACTATTGACTAAGTTGAGGATCTGCAGGGAATGCTTATCAAATTTGTGGATGACAAAAAAAAAATGGGTGGAATAGCTAATACCCTGGAAGGCAGGAGCGAAATTTATAAAGAGCTAGGCAGGCTCGATCACTTGGTTTAAAAAAAAAATGAGAGAATAAAATTTAACAGGGATGAGTGCAAAGTTCTACATCGGGGGGGGAGCAAATGCAGAGTAACAAGATGGGGGATACTTGGCTCAGCAAGATAGATAAAACCTTTATTGGCATAAGTAAATTGGACATAGTCACAATGGTTTGTTAGGTAACTACATGTATAGGCATGAAGATGGCAGAAAAGTGTTAGACATCCTTAAAGGGACAACGGTTCGTCTCCTAACAATAGTATCAAGGAAGTCTGTGACTCTTTCTACAGTATCAGTCATCTTGGCCGCCAGCATAAAGCGAACTTTATCCAGATCTGACCTCCTTTCCAGCTTTAATAAAATTGAGGCTATCAACCTTGATCAGCCAATCATGTGCAGCAGGCAGTGCAAGAATATATGAACAAGGGTTTCCAACACCCGTTCACATGGGCAGTGCCTTTCAGAATAAGGAACTGCATTAAATCTGCCATATAATATAGCAGTAGGCATGACACTGCATCTGGCCAAAGAAAAGGCCCTACATTTGGGGGGGGGGCTTTGAGCAAGGAAAGGTAAGCAGCAGATTTACCCATTTTAGAAGGAATATGGAAAAAATGGTGAGCAGAATTTATTGGCAGCACTGCTTAAGTTCCTGGAATTCAATATCCAAAATTCCTCTTTTAATAATTTGGAAAGCTAGCTCTTGACTTAAAGCTCTAAGGTAAACACTATCTATACCAATTGATTTAAATTTTTTCAAGAAGATCGTTGACCCAAAAGGTGGGACCCAAAAGAGTCCCACAGAAGCTGGTATAATGAACTATCCATGTCTGGATTGTAATAGATACTTAACCAAAATTTGAATGATCTCAACCACACTACACAGTCTGTATTAAAGATACTCTGGACTCCAGACAGAGCACCGAGTAGGGTACACATCTAGGTAATCTTAATGCTTTGCATAAGAAGGAGGATTGTAACTGTCCAATCAATCGATCCATAGCACTTGCCCAAATTGGGAAACCATAGAGGGTTTGTGGCATATTTTTGGACTTGTAAACTTGTGATGCTGCCGGGACAAACTGATTTCCTGAATTATATTGATTTATTATAATTTAATTGCATTTTATTTTTGCTCAGATACTTTGCACATCCATTAATCAGGAATGTTAGGCTCAGCAATATTACAAATGAGAAGGATCTTGGAATTGCAGTAGACCACAAGTTAAGTATGAGTCAACAGTGAGACGCAACGGTTAAAAAAAGCAAATGCTATTTTAGGCTGCATTAACAGAAATAGAGTCTCCAAATCCTGTGAAGTATTAATTCCCCTCTATTCAGAACTGGTTAAGCCTCATCTTGAGTACTGTGTCCAGTTCTGGACACTACATTTTAGGAGGCATGCAGACAAACTGATACAAATTCAGGATAACAAAGATGATCAGGAGACTAGAAACCAAGCTCCATGAGGAAATACTGGAAGTACTGCATGTTCCAAGACTGGAAGTACTGCATGTTTAGCCCTGAGAAAGGAAGACTGAGGGGAGACATGATACCACTTTTGAAATACTTGGGGTGGGTGGGGGAGACAGAGATAATATACAGAGAAGGGGCAGGATCTGTTCTCAATCATACAGAGTACAGGGCATGCAATAATGGGCTCATATTTTAGGAAGCCAGATTTCAGTTGAATATCAGGGAAATCTTCCAAATTGTTAGAGCAGTACAACAGTGGAACCAATTACCTCAGAAAGTAGTGAGTGCTCTAATGCTGGAAGCATTCAAGAGAAAGTTAGACAGCCAGCTATCAGATATACTCTAACTTGGGAGACCTGCACTGAACAGCAGGTTGGACTAAATGGCATTATAAGCCCCTTCCAACTCTATTATTTTATGATTCTAAGTAGAAAATGACAGCACATAATTATTATCGATCAGATAATAGAACAACTCATAATCTGGAAGTGCACAACCACACACAATGCAAAAAACAGACCAAATGCCATTGCAGAGGTTAGCAATTCCCCCATGTTCCTCTCCTTTAATATTTAGTCCAATATAACATATAATCCAACATTATTATCACACCTGTCCTCCGAATCATAGGAGGGGGGAATGTCACAGAAATATACAATACAATGGTATCAAATTATGGATAAATTGACCAAGAAAAAGGGGACATGAGAACTTTCAGGAAAGGTCCACTTTTCTATTAATTCTAACTGAAATATATTAATGCAAATTAATGCCAGGACCTCCAAGATAAACAATATGCATGGACAGGAACCAATGGCAGATTTTGTTAGAAGAACAGTAGAATCCAGAGAAATATGGGAGATTGATGATTTCTCACTGCAGCTCACCATGCCCCCAAAACCAACTCTGGAGGGCTGGAGAACCTCTGGAGTTGGTTTGCAGGCAGTGTAGAAGGCTGCTAGGGAGGGGGGGAAACCCCATTAACAAAACACTGGTTCCTCCCCATATATAATAGTAAATAAAATTATTAAGTGTAGTATCCATGTATTAAATGACAATACACTAAGTAAATTTATTAAAAATACATGTAAAAGCTGAAACATTAGCCAATATGAAAACATGCAACTGTCTAACATCTGGACTGCTATTATAATAACTGTACATTTTACCATTACTTTTCGCAAGTATATATTTCTACTATTAAGTGATATAATATTGACATCAATTCTAATAGTTAAAGAATCTAAGAGCAATATATTTTAATCAGAATGCAGCTATATTTTGGAAGAAACATCTAAACCAATGGTGTCCAACCTTGGCCCTCCAGATGTTCTTGGACTTCAATTCCCAGCAATCCTGGCCAGCAGAGGTGGTGGTGAAGGCTTCTGGGAGCTGTAGTCTAAGAACATCTGGAGGGCCAAGGTTGGACACCACTGATTATTGATTTACCTGTACATATGCAGTACAAAGGTTCTTAAAATGGCTACTTATTCATTTAACTTTTTTTAAATCACAAATTTAAGACTGAGATAATATAGAACTTTATATTGCCTGTATGAAATAGATATCATGCAACTTACTTTAAATAAAAATCAATGATGACGTCATTTAAAAATTCTCCTTCATTTAAACAATGAAGATCTTCATTGGTCACAGAAATGCCACCCTTTGATGGAGGAGCAGGATAAACTATCAATCTGGAAAGAAAAAAGAAATGCATTAAATACAGAATTTATATGATCTAACTATTTCCACAGCATGCCGAAATATGTCTTACTTTTCTATAGGACCAATAAAAACTGTATGGGGCTCCCCACTTTCATCATCATCAAAGAACTGGAACTCTGTTGCATTTCGCAGTTGCATCCTGGACTCAGAGACAACCTTAGAAAAATAATATGCAATACAGAAGCCGTAAGTACTAAAATGCTTCCCAACATTGAAACAATACAGCATGCCTTTCTTTTCCAGAGAAAAACTAAAAAGAACATAGTGGTGCCTCGCTTAACGAGTGCCCCGTTTAACGATGAATCCGCACACCGATGGAGTTTTTGCGATCGCAAAAGCGATCGCATTGCGATGTTTTAAATGGGGGGAAAGCGCATTGCGATGATTGTGGGGAAGTGCTTCCCCACGATCATCCCAAAGGCCCCGCCAATCAGCTGTGTTGCGAGGGGTGGAGAGAGAGAGAGCCCCGAAGCCCAGCTGATGGGCGCGGGTTTGGGAAGCTGGCTTCCCTGTGATCTTTGCAAACAACCACCCATCAGCTGTGCTTTGGGCTGCTCTCTCTCCCCTCCCAGCCTGGGCTGGAGCTGGGAGGGGACCAGGTAGATTTGTGACTATTTGACTTTTTGACTTTCAAGGTGAACATGCAGAAGTCAGAAGAAAACCAGACTATGTAAAACTTCTAGAAAACAGCTAATGCAAATTAATCTATATCCTCTTCTTCTTGGAAGTTCAACTGAAATGTATACTTTCATTTTTTTTTTAAAAAAAACACCTTTTAGACCACGGATAAAAAATGGTATGTTGACACAACCTTTTTAAATGGCCACCGCTATGGAGGAATTTTGCTTTAAGGTAAGTTTTTAGCCCATGGGAACCTATTAAACACGTTTTAATACGTTCCTATGGGCTTTTTAAAATCGCTTAACGATTAAATACTTAGCGACGTTTTTCCTGGAACGGATTAACGTCGCTAAGTGAGGCACCACTGTACATTCTAACAGAGTGGATTGGCTCAGATGTAATATTAGCCATTTCATAAACTAGTGGTAGGCCCATATACAGTGGTGCCTCGCATAGCTACGTTAATCAGTGCAGCAAAAATCGATAAGCGATTTCGTCACTATGCAATTTTAAAAAGCCCATAGAAACACATTAAAACCTATTTAATGCATTCCTATGGGCAAAAAACTGACCTTAAAGCGAAGATCCTCCATACGGTGGCTATTTTTGCTGCCTCTTAAGTGAGGAATCCGTGCAAAAACACAGCAGGCGGCCATTTTTTTACCCGGTGGCCATTTTGGAACCACCGATCAGCTGTTAAAAAATCATCGCTTTGCAATGATCAGTAAGCGAAACAGGGAACCGATCATCGCAAAGCAAAAAAAACCCATTTAAAACATCGCAATGTGATCGCTTTTGCAAGCGCAAAATCTTCGTCACTATGCAATTTCATCACTAAACGGAGCGCCCATTAAGCGAGGCACCACTGTACTTCTCACTTCCTGTTCCCAACTCCTACTTTCATCCTTGCTTCAGCAGAGAGAGGCAGGATTGATAGTTCCCTATTACATCTGGAACCAGATTTAGTCTGATGTTAATTTACTAGATACAAGAAATTATATAGTAGCTTCCCAATCCAACCCATTTCAGGGTCACAAGCACAGATTTATGTCTCTAGTACTATACTTTGTTCCAGATATGTTCTACCTCCAACAGAATTATCTTCTGCTTGAGGAATACTTTCACTGTCAACCAATCCTGAGCAACCAACGTATCTGCAGGTTAGGATCTGATGGTTGATAAACCAACATAACTCAAAATTTCTACTTCTGATGAAGCACAGAGGTGTGATTCAAAAACTTGCCCCCAGCATCATGAGCTTATATGATAAAGATCAGCATGTCAAAACCTTCATAAACTCCGTGAAGATATTAGTCCAAATTAAAAATACAGATACGAAATCAAATTGACACTAAGGGAAAGTTCAAAAGGAAGAAACCTTCGCCCCCTTTAGACTTTATAATCATATTTTCATTTTTTGCAATTTTACAATTTTACAAGCAAAGAGATAATTAACAAAATATAAGCTATAACATAAAAAAAACCATTGCAAGTAACATTTTAAAGTTAATGACATAAAATATTTAACACTAATCCATAAGTTTAAAAAGGAAAGAGTACATGTTTTGTTTTGCCTTCTTTATGAGTAATGCTTCCCCTTGAAGTGTCTTCAAAGGATTTTGTAAAGGCCACAAGCCTACTATTTGCTTCTTCAAAAGAAATCTTCATAAAAAAATCAGGAATGTTATTTCTGACACCAATATCAGTGATTATTTTTTCAAATACTGCATTTGCACGAGGGTCAAGGCCTGTATCAAAAATTAAAATGATGTATTGTTCTTCTGGGTCTATGGAAAAAATTAAACAGAAAGAGAAAGGTAAGGTGGGAGACAAAGAATGTATACATTTAAAAACAAAACATTCTGTAATTCAATTTGTTCAATTCGATCTATAATACTGCTTAATAATGAAGAATAAATAAAAACATAAAGGGAGGTGTCCATTAAATTTCAGATGACATTCAAGTCCATCTGAGAGGGAAACAGGGCAGTTTGAATTTAAGAGTGTGCATATAGAACTAGGCCTCTGAACTGAGACCAATGCAAGGAAAAATAAACTAAGGATATTCAGATTTTCTTTTTAAAATAATCATCATTGTTCTGTTGCTTATGAACTACTTCTTATGCAAAAGGGAAACCCTCTTAACTCCTTGGACATGTGAAAATCCTCACTGCTATCATAATTGCAAATGGAACAGAGCAGGGCAAATATGGAACAACTCAACAGGATAACCTTTAAGCTTCACATTGGTTAAAAAGGATTCTGGTGAACTGCTAATAATCTATTGTTTTTTTCCTCTAGAAATCCAATCCATAGATGGAAATGTGTACACATTACAGATGTGTAATGTTCACCAACCACACATGATTTGGTTCAAAATCTAATTGGGAAATTTTAAAAGAAGTCCAATTTGCAATGAGCTGCCTCAGACGCCACTAAATGAACTCTGATCTGAATCAGAAATTTGTTTTAGAAAAGACAAATCTCCATGCCTTCTTATTTTTCTAACTGCAGCTACCAGAATATTCCAACTAGCATGACTAGTGAACACCATAGCAGTGGCATATGCAGGGAGCAGTAGTAGGAAAACAAACAACTTTCCCATCTCCAACAGACATTCCCTGTTAAGAGATCCCCCTCAATTAAAGCATCCAGCATCTGTGAAAACTTCTTGAATATTTCCAGTCAGCAACATAGTGGCCTCCCCCTTCTTCTTCAGTCTGTGAGTTTCCATTACAATACTGCAGCTACATCCTCCAAGGAGTAAATATATATATACTGTACAGTGGTGCCTCGTATAACGAGGGCCCCATTTAACGATGAATCTGCATAGCGATTTTCCCCACAGGCCCCGTTTGCCCCCAGCTGACCGGCGGGCGCTTCGGAGCACACGGTGGAGGATTACTGGGCGGTCGCTCCGAAGCCAGCGCCGCCCAGCTGGGGGGAGAAGGCTTGGGAGCGACCACGGTGGAGGCTTACTGGGCGGTCGCTCCGAAGCCAGCGCCGCCCAGCTGGGGGAAAATGGCCGCCCGCAGCGTTTTCGCGCCTCGCTTACCAAGGCAGCGAAAATGGCAGCCGAATGGGGGATTCTTCGCTTACCAGTGAGTTTTTCCCCAATAGGAACGCATTAAACGGAGTTTAA